ATTACAGATTTGAAAATTAATTTGGAAAGCTTTTCATCAGTGGTAATTTAATGAGATATTAAAAAGTATATGAGGGTCATATCTTTTTTTCCCATACCTAGAAAACATAATTAAAATTTTAAACAAATACAATACTAAAGCTAAAGCTATGCCGCAACTGGATGAAAGAGGGTTTGCCGAGCAGGAGGTAATATTCCATAGTCACATGACTGGAATAAAATTTGAAGTGTTATGGTGACTTTCACTGAAACAAGGATATACTGTATAATTCCATAACTGGTTCACTGTGATTACATCTGAACACTGCAGACAGTATTCTGGAAAAGAGTCACTGGGCTTGTAGTATATTATACAGAAGTTTGAATGAATAGTACCCAGATACATTTGGTCTTCTTCCCTTTCTAAGTAAAACTTACGAAGCAGACAACTATTAAAAAAAATAAAAAGCAATAATATTAGATGGATGACCTATATTTTTAACCCTGAGTTCCTCAGTTTGTCTGAATTCCAAAGCCAAAGTCATAACATTTGTCATCCTTCCTAGTGGTGCTTACTCATGGCAAGTAATTTCAAAGGCACAAAGTCCAAAACTCCCCACACACAGTAAGTAAACCAATACCTTTATTTAGAAGCCTTGTTGAAAAAGATGAAGAGTAAGGTGCCAATGGGTCTTGCCTAAAGTGAAAGAATTCTTGTTTCAGAGGATGAGCTCACATAGAAGAAGTATAGAAAGGGCATTGAAACAAGTCAGAAGACTGGCATCTGGTTAAGGACTCAGCTCTAACATTTACTAGTAATGTGACTTTTAGGCAAACCATTTACAGTCTCTGAGATTCAAGATCACCTGCAAAATGGGAAGACTATAACCTGCATTGCCAAATTTTCAAGGTCATTGTGAGCCAAATGAGATACAAGATCAAAAGTAAAGCACTGAAAAATGTTTTCTTCTTTCACATCAAGATGAGTATGAACATGTCTTTAAAAAGCAAGGATTTGGTAAACATATATGATTACGTCAAGACCAACACTAATATTACAGGCTTGAATTTAAGTTAACTCGTGATTTTTGTGGAGGGCTTTTAATAGTTTTTTAATGGTTTTTTTCCAGTTTACTGCCTTTGCAAAAAATTAATCAAAGTAAAATTTTAAAAATTAATTTGCTCTGGTTTTTTTTATTAATATAACAAATCACTGATCTTAGCACTTTACCCAAAAGTCCAAAAAATATCACTATCAAATTTACAGAATACTATTATAAAGTTTTTACATTTCATGCAATATTTAATCATCTGTTTGTTACACTATTTCATAGGATGATAGGCAGCATGGTATGGTGAATAGAAAGCCAGCCCTAGAGTCAGGAAGACCTGGGTTCAAATTCTGCCTCTGACACATAGCTACTATGTGAACCTGCCAAGTCACTTAACTTCTCCATGGCCCAGGCAATTCTCTGAGAAGCTCAGCTGAAGAACAGTTGCTGATCTGCACTGGTAGGGGGAGTTTCCTCCCTGGGAATTACCTCTACCAATAAAATCACAGGTTCAGATATTTCCCTCCCCACTAAAAAAAAAAATTCTGAATGTAATCCTACCAAAAAATTAAGACAAGTTAATTATATTATTTCCTGAAGGAAAACACAAATTAGGTACATAATCCCTCCATCCATTAATAAGAGTTCTTGATCTTCATGGGTATGTATGTGTGTATATGTTTGTGACAAATCCCTTTGTCAATCTGGTAAAGCCCATGGATAATTTCAGAAAAATAACAGAATAATTTTTGTCACCTACATTCATTATTGAAGGAAATGAATTTTAATTAGAGGTTAGCATAAGTAAAGATGTATTTTCTTTTTCCATTCAAAACACTTAGCATAATAGTATGGCATGTATGACATCAAGAAACCTTATTTTGTGATGTGGAGCAACTAAACACATTTTCTTTAATAACAGCCTAAGAAAGTAGGAATCCCCTTAAGTTCAGAGCAGTGTTCAACGAAAATAAAATGAAAGACTTCATTAGCACTATGTTCAATGCAAAAACAAATGACTCCAGCCTATGAAATATCTATCTTGTTATGCAAATTGTAGAAAAGATTCACACAAGCTTATAATTCTATAGCTATATCTGTATATAGTCATTAACTTTTTAAAGTTAATATTTCTGCAAATGAAATTTTATTCTGCAAATATCAGCAATTCTATGCAACTTTTATTATGAATACAGGCCTACTTAAGAATTACTTAAGAGTCCTACAAAAACATTTCAAAGCATAGGGATAAGTCACAGCCTCAAATATACATTATCATAAACATAATCAAAGTACTAAAGATGGAGTTTGTCAAGTAATTTGTCAAAAGTTCAAGTTGAGGGGTTCCATATTCACCAAAACAGGGTTATTTCATCCTATATTTACTTGATTTAATTGTAAATTCATGCCCAACAGATGCTATATTTCCTTAACATATATAATTACCTTTGGATATGCTATAAAGTAATTTGATAATTGTGTTCCGAAATGAGACAGAATGTTGGAATATGGCACAATTCCTAAGCAATTATATAACTATTTACTTGGATAACAAATATATACATACCAAAAACAATCCTCCAAAACACAAATATGGCAGTTGTAAGCCTTTCCAGGTCCATCAGAGATTTGTAGAGATTTTTGAAAAAATTCACTAGGATAATATACTGAAAGCTGACCACTTGCAAATGAGTTACCATCAAGTGAAAAAAAATCATTAACATATATTGACTATGGTACCTTGAAATCATAATTTTATACACTTTAAATATTTGCTTAAATAATTCTAATAAGTCATTTTAAAGAATAGCTGCTTTGGAGCAATAAAACAATGTAAGCACACACAATAAGAGTATATATTCAATTTTCTCCCTTAATGATATAACTGGGTCTGATGATTAAAATACCCAAAATAAGAAAGGTTCCCAAAATGCACAATAGAGATGAAATTGCCTAGTACCCTGTATAGACAAGGAATCAAAATGGGACATGAAGAGTATGTAGTTTATCAGTGTCTTATATCTTTGTTCCTCTTCTGTTCTACAGAGAGTAGAAAACATCCTGTGAATGTTTAACTCCCCTTTTTCATTCATTCCCATTTCCATTGAAGTTCAACCTAGGTGTCACCTCCTATGACACTCCTGAATCTCCTCCTCATTGATGCTCAACCCCTCTTCAGATTACATTGTATTTATTCATCTGTGTGCACATTATTTACTCTTTTAGGATGAGTACTTCTTGAAGGCGGGGAATATTTTTGTTTGTTTTTGTCTTTGCACCCAAACACTTACTATTACATTGTAGGAATACAAATAAATTCTTGTTGACTTATTGAACTGAACTGCGGTGGAAGGCAATATGATTTGCAGATGCAGAGCATTCTCTAAACATATGGTGTATCACTGAAAAATATATGAATTCAATGACTAACAAAGAAGCACTCTTGACTTCAGGAGTTTGACAATGACATATGAAGTGTGTGTATACACATACACACATATACATGTATGTGTGTAGATGTGTATACACACATGTGTGTATATAGGTGCATTACAGATATGTATGTATATTTAGATGCATTTATTAAAAAATTGGAAAGTGTCCCTAGAATTAAGTTTTCCCCCACAAGATAAGTGAAATCATTCCAATATTTTCAGACATTTTTATATATCTCTCTCTATCTATACATACACATATATACACACATGTGTAAACAGTATCATGTATATATGCATAATACATGTACATAAATACATATATATGCATATTGTAGAACTAATCCTAATGTTTTTTGTCTTCATAAAGTAGCCCTTTTTCACATAGAACACTTTACAAGAAAGGACTCCAATATCTCATATAGACCTTCAACCTAACAATGATCTATATTTTCAAGAAGTGATGACACAGGAGTAACATAGTGCTGATGACAGAAGTATGGAATATTTTAAATTCATAATTGGTAATACTTTGATCTTTAATGCAAATTGAATTCTCATTACAGTTTTACTATATAGGATATAGATCTACCTATAGGACAGCTACGTTTATGCTACTAAATCTTTATTTCACTTATATGCAAGTCAATTTTTTAAGCAAAGCTCTTTCAGGAGGCCATTATCCAATGCTATTCACTAGTTACAGTAATTATACTAGATTTAAAAGAAATAGCCAACATTGAAACACAAACCAGTGCCTCAGTCATTTGGCATTTTAAATTTACATATTGTCACTGATTTAGGAAAAAAAAAACACTGTTGTAGAAATGACCTCATTAACTGTTTTTTTTCAGCAAATGTTTCTTTAAATATGTGTGTGTCTGTCTATAATATCACATTCATGAAAATGGAGAATAAGGTAGCTATGAATACTTCATTGCTTAGGTAGATGTTCATTCATTATACACACACACACACATACACACACTTGTGTGTATATTTATATGCGTTTATGTATATATGTGTATATATATACATATACACACATACATATGCATGTATATGTAGAAAGACAGAGAGACAGATAGATGGATAGACATTATACACACACACACACACACACACACTCACACACACACACACTCACACACACACACACACACCCCCCCCATAAAGATATCCAGGCCAATTTTAGCAGACTTATTTTCTGGCATATTCTAAAGAAACATGGTGCTTCAGTAACCCATGAAAAGCTTCCAATCAGACTAAGGAGACTATAATGGCTTTTTTACTGTCTTATAAGAAACTTTAAAATTTTACAAGCTCATGGCATTTAATTTATTGATTTTTTTAAACAATGGATGCTAACCATCACATTTAACTATCTCTTCACCTCACCTTGTTCTAAATATAAGAGAAACATGTTTAATTCCTAATAGGAAGCATTAGCTTTCATGTTTACAATATCTTCCCTTTAGAGATTTAAAAAAATAAATCAAAGCTTGCTTCTGCATATAAAAATATAAAGAACATACGATGGGCACAGATACTGCTTCTTTTTCCCTTTCCCCTTCTTGGAAGACTTCTCTTTAGAATAGGATTCTTCAACCCAGAAGGAGAATAAAATAAGAAAGAGAATCCCCCAAAAGAACTTCATCTTGAATAAAGTCCAGACTGATCTATAAGAGAAAAAAAAATAAAATGTTTACATTAGTGAAGTTAATGGCAAATATCTGAATTTCTATTCCAGTGTATCTTATTTGTACCAAAAGGGCCCGTATTTTATCTTCTCAAATCTTTAGAGATCAAACCTTTTCAGTTAAAATCTGAGTTTAATTACCAATTGTTCATCTTCAGCCTATTTAAGTTCTTCTCATGAGTGTGTCATATTGAGAAAAATACAATGGATGGAATTCACAAGGACTCATAATGAAAAATCAATCACCAAATGTGTATGAAATTTTATTAATCTCAATTTTAAAATTTTAACAAATATCAGTAAAGCTAAAAGAAAAAAAACTATTGGGATCGTTTCAAACTATACTTCCACTCAAACCTATTCCTACAAGGCTAAAACTCAATACCAATCAATTAAAAAAAAGTTAAGGACCTACTATGTGCCAGGCACTGTGTTAAGCACTAATATTAAAGTGTTAAAAGCAGAAAAGGGTTGGTTTTTTTTTCCCCAAGGCAGATATTAGCTGGAGAAGGCTTTGCCATAGAGTACTAAAATAAATCATAAAAAGATTGTTCATGTAGTCACAGGAAACATTAAAGGAGACCGTGAAACAACAACCACTCTGGGTCACAGGCTTGATCACACTCAATATTTCTCATGCTGCAGACCAGAGTCACATTACCCCCACCCAGGATCAAGATAACTTTCTGCTTCTGCATCTTTTACTTTCAGTACCATAAACAGCTTCCTCACTGTCTACCAAAGGGTGAAAAGAGGCATTCCAATTTTTTTAATGCCATTGCATTCTTCCCTCTCTGCCTTAAGAGATTTTCATGGTACCTCAGAAACAACGTTTTAAATGGTCTTCTTTGTACTTAGCCGTTTCCTTGCCTATTCCCCAAGGGGAAATCCAGTAGGCCCTTTTCTTTGCTGCTTTTACAGTAGACATGGCTTATCATGACAACTGCAGGAAAGTCTCAGTTGCCAACTACAGCAAAAATACTCCCTTCCCCCATTTTAGAAGGGGCACTAGTTCCTTCTAAGACACCCTCACCCATGCCAGTAGGTCCTTCCTTCACTTTGATTCCCTGGGGGTGGGGGGTGGGGGAGGGCCGCCCTAAGAGCAGCAGGTTGGAATGAAAGCAGTCTTTCTTCTTTCAGCTAACAACCCCCAACCTTTCCAAAATCAGCAATAATGTCTGCTGGGGCTTACTTGCAGAAAGATTGCTGCTGGGACATCCTGCGTCCCAATTCCCCAGTCCCTCTCCCTTTTCTATCACCGAATGAGCCCAGCCCCTCTCCATCAGCACCCCTGGGCAAGGCAGGGCACTGAAGGTGATGGAATTGCAGTGTCTCCTCTCCGCAAGCTCTGATGCCCCACTGCTTCTTTCTCCCCTATATCCCTACGCCCCAGTCCTTGCTTCCCTAAAGGATCTTACCCCCTTTCCTTGCCCCAGCCTTCCCTCGGTTTATTTAGCCCGGTTCCAAAAACCTAGCCAGTTCGCATGAGTCCTCGGCCCAGACAAGCTCTTCTCCTTCCCCCCACCCCCTAACCCTCACTTTGTGATGGTACCCCTGGTACTCACCCCCAAGGCGCCCCTAGCACAAACCCGCCCACCAAGCGGAAAGCTCGGAAAGCGCGAGGGCCCTTGCACGCGTCGTCGACGGTGGAGGCAGCAGCCCAGGGTCCTCGCTGGGCTGCGAGCCTAGCCAAGGGGCCAGTTCTCCCCCTGATGGCCCGAGCCCAGCTGCGGCTGACGCGCCTGCTCCGAGCAGTGGAGCCTGCGCCGTAGCGAGAGCGCCCAGAAGACCGGGCGTCCTCCGGCGCGGTCAGGACCCCGCTGCGGGCATCGCGAAGCTGCAGTCCGGGGAGCAGAGCTAGGATGCAGGCATGGGGGGAGGAGGGCCAGACTCAGGGCTTCCTTAGTCTAAACGGACAGACCGCTCCAAGAAGGTTCGCGGCTTTGGCAAGAAGACAGAACCAAGGATAGCTAAGCTATCAGCGGGTGCATTGAAAAAAGGAGACTATCAGCAGGAGCAGAGACAGTTGTTTGGGACGGTGGAATTGAGTGGTCTCGTTCTGTGACTGCTCAGCACCCGAAGCATACAGAAATAGGATGTTCTCGTTTTGGTTTGCTTTTTTTTTTTTTCACAGTGCACTTAGATCAGGGAATTTTCCCTAAATGAATCCCTCAATGTCAGTCCCTAAACGCCCCAAAGATTTTGACACCTAAGGTCATCCTCATTAAATTGTTCTGTATTTCATTTCGTGCTGAGAAATGAATTCATAACACATTGTATTATTACCCATGAAGATCGGATGTGGCCCTTGCTTTCCGAGGGCTGTCAATTCTTGTTTGTTTGTTTTCCTAACATTTGATACTGTTTGGGTGCAGGCTGCTTGTCAAGGACCCTCGGAGAAGAAATGAACTTTTTTCCCTCCTAACTATGAGTTGAGAAGACACTGTGTTTGATATACTCTTTCTTTTGTGGTTGAGAATGCATTTCAAGGTCTTTCAGTGCGTCAAGGTCAACATTATGAAAGTCAGTTGGCATTGTGCTAAAGAAGCAGGAGAGTTCTGCTTAACAGAGATTTCCAAATGACAGAACACTGGAAAATATCAGCTTTTCCTAATGACATTATGGTGCATCTAGATAAGCACTGTAAAAATAAAATAATGAAAATATATCATCTTCCTAAGCTTGAAAGACTAGTACTTCATTAAAATTTCAAGTTCCCCTTGGGGCCCACAAATCATGACTTTAGACTTTGAAAGTATCTGAAGGCAACCTGCAATAATGATTAAATGTTTGGGTAATAGACCTCATAAGGAAATTCTAAAGGAATTGGGTTTAGATAACCTTACAAAAAAAGTAGCTGAGGGAGGGATTTTATTGCAATCATTTAAGTATGTGAAGGAATCTTAAATAAGAAATAGGTGAGCAGATCTACAAATCTTGGGCAAGCCAATGAACTTGTTTCAAGGGGAAAAAATCAGTTTACAATTTAAGAGCTCCCTGACTAAAAGAATATCTTTTAAATGTCCTATTGGGTTAGACCAATGGTCCATTCAACCAATATTATCTACTGACAAGCACCAAAGAATGTTTTGTAGGAAATTATGCTTGTGCTTCATGACGTAGACCTCAAAAGGTAAGAATATATGAATATGTCCATTACTTCTTTCTAAATGTCCTAAAGCAAATTTAAAAAAAAAAAGAATCCAAAGCAATTAGGAGATGTGGAAACAAATAGGACAGTATTGTTTAAAAAAAATACAACTAAGTGTTCATGGTTGTGTTTAATTCAATGTTTTTATTGATGGTTTTCAATAAAACATATTAAAAGTTGTAATATTAGAAGCCTAATAGCACCCTAGTACTGAGAATACTTTATCTGTACAGTGTTTTACAATTTACATTATGTCCTTTGATCTTGTGCAAAAAGTAATTATCATTCCCATTTGACAGATGGGGAAACAGAAACTTAAAGAGGTAATGTGCCACCCAAATTCACACAGTTAATTACTGGAACAATTTGCATTTAAACCAAGGTCTTCTGACTCTAAGCTAAGAAAGCTGCCACTTGCTCAAGAAATTTGTAAATTCCCTTTCCTCCTTTGTAGGCCTCACATGTTATCCTACCCAAAAGCAGTGGAATAGGGTAGAAAATAAATCATTTTAAAAGGGCTCTTCCAGTTCCTTAAATCTGGCATATAGAATTGACAGTGTTTTGAAGGGATAACAAATAATATCCTGACCTTATTTTAAGAAATTTAACTCCAATATTCTCTCTCATCCCAACACCCCCCCAAAAAAGGAAACAAAAACTATTTAATATACAATATAAAATATTTATTATTATAAAAAGCAGGGTGCTCACTTTTAAACTAAATTTTGCTGTATTTCTTATCCATAAACTAGGACATGTCTAATTTATTTTTCACATTCTTATTTTATAGACACTGTTCGCCATGGACATACAATGATTCTATTCTCAGTTTCCTCATCTGTAAAATTAAGGGGTAGAATCTGACAATAAATTTCCTTCTAGTTCTAAATTTCTAGGGATTGTATTTTTGTCAGGGGAAATGTCATTAACTCACTGTACGAATGAAAAAGGGCAAGGAATATATGATTTTCCATCTTTCTATGTCCACCACCTAGCCCAGTTCCTTGAGTAAAATATGACACCTCAGCAAAGACATGATGTCATTGATTTAGCTATTCCACTAAACCAGGGTTGGGGAACCTGAGGCCTCAAGGCCACAGATGGCCTTGTAGCTCCTTGGTTGTGGCCTTTTGACTGAGTGCAAGTTTTACAGGACAAATCCTTTTATTAAGGTGATTTGTTCCATGAAGTTTGGATTCAAAGGACCACACTTGAGGACTTAGACTGCCATATCTGGCTTCAGTAGTAAGCATATCAGGAATTGCTGAAAGTCCTGTAGAATTTCCCAAATGCAATAAAACCCATTGTCTTTCTGCTGTTCAATTTTTGGCCTACTTCATTTTCCATGTGCAGATCCTATACAAGATCTACATATGGATTGACTAACTCAATGGGATGCCTGTTCAACTGTTTGCTGCAATGTTCCTAAAGTGGATGTTAGGCTGATCTTTTTAAACTGACTTTATTAAAGAGGTTTTATAGTGTTCTAGAACTTAATACAAGTGCACAATATTATCTCCTAGAAGAAGGATCTAGATAACTTTACCATCGATAGAAAATCTTTTTATGTGGTAACTGTAAGCAACCTCCATGACACTGATACATTCCAAAGTTAGCCAAACATTAGTCTCACTGTTGTATATGCATGGATTGATGCTGATAACCTATGAATAATGAATAAATAAAGGTATTTCTATATTTATATCTGGCATATAATGTCTCTTGAACTTAATATATATATGAACTTTTTGGAAGACAGATTCTAAGTCTTCATTTTAGTCTACTGAAAGAAATGTGATCATTTTTGGGGGAAACTCTTGGGTTTTTTTTATCAATAAACAATAGAAGAATCAAGGTCTTAGGTTTTCTAAGCCTCTCACTCAGATACGTCACCATGCAGATGTAAAAATCATCTGTAAAAATCTACCTGTTCCTTTTTCTTATTTTAATCAAGGATATCTTTAATGCATGCATCCTTACACCATTATTATAAGATTCTGTGCAGGTAAGAAACTAGAGATGTGAGTTGGTAGTTGCTGATGTTGTCTGTTAAAAGTGACAACAGTGATCTTTTTTTCTTTTTTTAAAAATCATTCTCTTTTATTTTGAAAATTGATTCCTCAGTGTCTGTACAATTATATCATCTCCAGCAATGATGTGTGTGTCTGTGTATTTGGTTAGGTCAAAGCGCTCTTCCTTATTTTATTTTCTTTAGTGTCATTAACAATCCTTAAATGTATTGTATTAATAAGCGGTAAATAAGTGTTTGTTGAACCAAAATGAATTTTATTTACTTTTCCAAAGACAGTATCATTTTAAAAATTGAAGATTCTGAAAGTTTTTTTAAAATTTATGCAGGTATAATTTTTGTATTATCCATGTATATTAAAAGTATGTTTTGAATCTATACCTTCAATCTATGCTCATTTTAATATTAACAGTTCATTTTCTAAGGAAGTATATGAAAATATTACATAAATTTAAATTGTTTCTAAAAAGTAGGTCTTTCAAAACATTAATTTAAAATAGATGTACATCTTATTTTGGTCCTCTATTCCCCTTTTTGAATTTGTAACTCTATTTCCATATCATTCTGTGCTTAAAAAAGAAAAAAAAATGCTTGATGTTTTTAGGCAAGCTAATATATCATGTAGGTTGTGACTCTTAAAGTAGGTCAGATAAAACCAAAGATTTTTTCAATATAATACTTTGATATGTAAACTAGATCTAAATAATCTCTAAGCATGTTGTATATTTGCAGGAATCATTTTTCCTAGGTAGGAAAAAAGGATTAATGATGTTTTATTAATATGGTTCTTTAGACCTTTTTTCTTCTATTGTTCCCAGGTATGCAAGGATAATTGCAGATTTACTTGTATTCTGATATTGCTCTGAGATCTCATTGGAATGGGTAACTCTGTCCACCCCACCTTTCTCTTTCAAAGAAGCATTTCAATTTTGTACGAATTGTGCATACTGATCTTCCTCCATAGACTATTCACCCAACACTCTACAAGATGACTTCGGTTCTCTGAATATTTTTTATAGACAGACTTCACAAAACCCTACTTCTTAATGATTTCTATTTCCTCATTTCACCTCCACCTGCAACTACTGTTATGAGTACATTAATTTTATTATTCATGATTTTTTAAAGAAAGGTTATAGTTCAATGGATCTGTGATCTCATGGGTATAAGTCTTCCCTCCTCCTTCCACACTCTGACAGTAGCTTGCACTGGTGAACTGGTGAATCACCAAACCCCCAACCATGCTTTCCCATTTCCTTGCCCTTCCGTAATTCCTCTAAGGAGTATTTACCCAGAATACTAGATGTCTTATAGGCATTTTCATATATTTTGGATCCCATTTCCACCAATCTTTTTGGAAATTAAAAAAAAAATCTGTTCAGAAATAACCATCCTTACTTTATAATAGCACACAGCATTTCTGTAGCAATTCAAGATTTGCAAAAGACTTTACAAATATCAACTTATTTTATCCTCATGATAATCCTGAGTGGTAGGTGCTGTTATTTTATGTATTTTTATGTATCAGGAAACTAAGATTAAGCAACTTTGCCTAGAGTCATACAGCTCCTAAGTGTCCTAGGCAGGACTGTGATGCTAGATTCAACACTCTACCCACTGTGCCCCCTACCTGCCTCACTGAGTGAGACAATGAAGACAGTATTTACCATCTTCCTAGAATATCTTAGTGTGGACTAATTAACCTTTAAAAAGTTCTTCCATGGAAGCTAATCAAATACCTTTTTTCTCTCTTTTCACCTGGGCTTTGCCTCTTACTGCAGTTTTAATACTGAATGAAATAATTATCCATGTGTTTTTGTTTGTTTTTGTAAAAGACAGTCTATTAGGTTATAAAGAATGACTATTTTTGTATAAGTTCCTGGGAAGCAGTTTAACTTAGACTTCTCTA